AAACAAAGAAAAACTGACAACAGTTATCTTGTTATTCCTTTCCCCTGTATCAGCAGAGCTCGGAGTTGCTGTTATTTGGTCTGTTTGGAAAGCCTTCGCTGGCAACCGTCTGGAGGATAATTCTTTTTACTTTTCTGGCGTAACTGCAGTTATTCCAGCAAAGTTTCTTAGACAACAGCTAGGGCTAACTCGGTCCTGTCTGTGCTACTGCTTTGCGATAAGTCCAGAAGCAAAGTTGGCTTGGAAGGGTGCCTAGACCCATATGAAGCTATGATCCGTATGAGCCAACCTCCAGGCCTCCCTTCTGGGAGGGCACGCTTCTAATGCTTTGGGGGAGAGCATCTATCTCTAATTTGCAATCAGTGGGGCAAAACAGCAGCTGTATCGATGGAGTTCTTATTTAGCACAAGAGACTGTAGTAGCGTCAGATAAAGCAGTAGGCTTGTGTCTTACTGGCTGTGTCCGATTACTTTTTAAGAAGTATTTTATTGATATTTTTCTTATTCCTGTTTTTCTCTGGGGTGGATGGAGCTGAATTTCGGCTTCCATTACGTCCTCCTCTACAAATGTGGCTTAAATGTCAAAGCACAGTGTCGTCTTCACGCTGTTTGTTGGGTCCTTTTTAGTGTCTAGACATAATGCTGCTAAAAATAGCTTGAGATTTCTTTCTTGATCTTTGGGGAGGGGCTTTCTTAGGGAGAATGAGGATGTAAACCACACTTAGATTTTTGGTGATGTAAACATACACATCTGGGAAGTCAAAGCTAGGAGAGTCTTCGTAGTAGATTCATACTGTCAGAAGATTAATAACTGGTTTTTGGACAGCGTGACCTGCCCAATTAATGGATACGTGCAGCATGATGTCCTCCAGTGCCAAGTCTAATTGTCTCTCCTGTGAGCCTCATGCCTTTCGGTTGTTGTAGTGTTTCTGGCACTTGTGCTGCGAGTCAGGTCCTAATTTTATCTTATTATCCCCGCAGCTCAGTGACAAGGCGAGATAGCAGCGGAAAGGGAACAACATCAGCAGGCAAACAGATCTGTGAAGAGCAGTGGCCGTGATCTCTGTAGGTCTAAAGCTGCATCAAAGTGTTGTCGCTTCTTGAGCTCCTAAATGTGTGCGGCAAAATCCCCAGGATGACCTCACGAACTGCCGGATGCGTGAGGAGAAGTTGCTAATGTCTTGGTTTATTTTTGCCGGATGGTTAAGGGTTGCTCATTTGAATTGGCAATGCTCTCCAAGTTTGAACTCCTTCATCCCTGTAATTCAGAACATGGCAGTAGCAGACTTGGGCATGAATAGAGATCAAGACTTTTGCTGAGAAAACACAGGGATAATCTCGGCATTAAAAAAACTTTTAACACGCTGAGAAGCGCGCGTGAAGTGGGGAGCTATTTTTTTAATGCTAGACATTGGTTTTGAACACAATAGAAATCGTTCTACCGAACTGTTCAGTGGATTCCTGGAGGAAGCTAGAATTCCCTCACCAGTGACGAGGGTTATATGGATCACAGTTCTAGAAACCCTGTTATTTGGATAGGGTAAGAGTGATATGTGTGTATTTGGTGGGGCTGATCACTGTACGTTATGCCACGATTTCTAAGTTTAAAGGAAGCATCCCATTTTGGAGAAATCTGTAGCGGCCCTAACAGTTACTGATGTTATAACTGAGATGATGTTTTAGGAGCCCTTTGCGTTGTTACTTCTCAGCGAGAAGCTCCCCAGATGCAGGGCAGCTGTCAAGTCTGCTTGTGGTGTTTTATAGACCGTGGCTGTGTGTGTTCACTTAGAGACTGCTGGAAATTACAGTGGGGTGAGAGGCAAAAATATGAGGTACTTTGCAAAAGTCTGCATGGTAGTAGGAAAGAATAAAATTTTGACTGTGAAGGGCTCGTTTGGGCAGGGGTTGACTGCTATGATGGCAGGTCTTGAAGGATTCCTCTGGAATAAGCTTGCATGTGTTGATCAAACTAGGAGAAACTGTTTTTTTTTTCTGCGAGAAGAAGTTGTAGGTACTGACATCTGAGGACGTGTTCTGAGGCTGTCTCGTGTTCAAGGCCTGGGTGTATAAGGTGTGCGAAGAGCTGTCCGGCAGCGCTTGGAGTTGGTGTGACAGTTGCATTAGTCTGTGTGTTTTCCAGATGATGAGGTTGACTTGACTTTTTGCAGTGTAAAGAATATAACTTCAGCCCCAGGTTCGACCTGCAAAGCCTAGAGGAATATAGAAACACGTCTTGTATACAAGCCATTTCTCGATTACCAGGAAGGAAAGGGGAAAGAGGGAAGCAGAAGCAACTGGGTAAGTTTCTTTGCCTGGCTGAATGCCTTTGAACACTTGTGAATTATCTGATGCTCTGCCAGGAGGCTAAAGCTCTTGCGCACTCTGGTGCTAGAGCACAGAGGAGGTAACCCCAGTTTTAAAGCTGAGCGTAAATAGAGGGATCTTACTGAAGAGCATTTCTAAACTGACTGTACATGTGATGTGGCGTAGCTGAGGCAGTAACTTTTTGAGGAGACGTGGATTGATTTTATGGAACGAAGTAATGGATGAAACTGTTGGCAGCGCAGTAAATGCTGCTACATCAGGTAGTTTGATGGAGTGACCTGTGAAAGGTGAGATCTGAAGAGAACTAGATTGGGGTGTTTCCCTAAAGTACAAAAGAGCTAGAAGCAATAATCCCTTCAGAGAGGCTCAGCCAGATAATGCTGTTGCCGGGTAAGAAACTGAATGATGTTGTCAGTCTTGAATTGCTCCGAAGTTTCACATACTGGTAAAAGTAAGCTTTTTCTGTGAGCTCTGCCTCCGCTTTGATTTCCATGTGGCTTTTCTGTAGCTTGTTGTGTTCTTGGGCCCTGGGGTGATTGCTGGCTGTCCTTGTGGTGGGCTGTCGAGCGTCAGGAGGAGCCCATCTGCCGCAGGTTGACTTTTAAATGTGGCCGAGGATTGGCATTGTGGTTCTGGCTTTACCGTCGCTGCGCAGCGTTGAAAAATAAACGGAGATGTCTTTGAATGCACTTCTTCCCCTATTTAAGGAAGCTTCCTTCCAGTCACCCGCTTCCACGAGGCCCTGGGGATATGTAGTTAACCATTTTGAGTTTGAAAAAGCGTTTTAAAGACTTCTCCATAGCAGGATATGACCTCTTCTGGCCTAGTGCAGAGAGATGAACTAACTCCATTGCCTTAATTTGACTTTCATTGTTTGCCGCTAGCCAGTCCAAAGTGCTTCCATCCTTGGCCAGGATATCCGTTTCTCTCCTTCCCATTCCCAGCCAGCCGTTCCTCTGCCTTTGTGGCCAGGAGCAGGAGGCAGTTGATGCGTGGGCTTTCCATCTCCCGAACAGCATTTGGATGTGTGGGTTTTGTTGTTGTTTGTTTGTTTTTTGGTTTTGTTTTGTTTTTCTCACAAGTTCAAAAGTCCTCTTGGAGAGGAAGGGAACTGCAGGTGCGTTTACCCTTGACAGGAGGATTTAACTATGATTTGGTCTTCAGTTCAATGACATGTTAAGCCTCTGGCTGGTTTTCTTCTTATGAAACAACTGTGGCCTCTGAGTACAGATTTCTGTTTTTTAAAAAACAAAAAAAAACAAAAAACACCCAACCTCCCACCCCGTGATACCTTTCCAAAATTGCTTGTAACTATCTCTTTGCAGATAGAGGACACTATGGGCTGTAGAGCGATATGACCAAGAGTAAACACCACGGTTTGGCATCTTGTAGTGACTTGCATTCGTTCTGCGCTTAACTGGTGCGTCAGGGAAATACTGTGCAAACAAACTCCAGGGTGAGGATGTTGGGCAGCACAGTTTCTTACCAGGTTATGCCTGCCTGCAGTATTTGACAGCAGGGCAGGCTCTGTTGCCAGCAAGCTTTCACTGTAGTTAAGCAAACTGACCTGAAAAACAGAGCAACTGCATTCTGGCAGAAAGCTGGAATTTCCTTGAGTATTGCCAGCTATCAGCTGGCGTAACTAGGACACTCCTGCTTACTTTTTTTCTTCTCATTGATGATTAAATAAAAGGTATTGCTCTTGTAATAGCGTGGGCAGTCATGGGAATCTAGCGATATCAGTGAGGTGTGGCCTTTTAGGGAAGGTTACCAAAGATAGACTTGAGTGACTGAAAGCTGGCTTTATGTTTCTGTTTAGCAAGGATTTTTCTGTGTAGTTGTTCTGATTGCAAGATATAAACACCTTTGCTAAGAAAGGTGTGAGCCTTAGTCAGAAGCTGACACGCTTAAAGGTGCGTTCTGTTGGCGCTCAGGAAGGATTCATCTGTCGTCTTGAGTAGCTTCTGCTTTGGCAGCTCTATTAGGAAGAGAAGTACATGGAAAAAAAACATGGTTGGATAATAAGGCTCTACTTGACAAGTCTTTGGGTGCGTGTCAGGCAGGGCAGGGACTTTTTTGTGAAGGAGGATTTTTGCAGCAAGCAGCAGGAACTTAGACCTGCTTGCGAGTCCTCAGCATGGCTGAGGCTCATGGCTGCTGGCTCTGGGGCTGAAACGAAGTGTATAGTCTGATGTGGGCCACCCTGGCTGTGTGCTGCTGCTTTAAAAGGATTTGACCGCAGAGGTGTGGCGTCGGTTCCCACACGATCTGGGAGTACCTTGTTCTGCTAATGTGAACTACTGAGTATTTCTTTGGCTGTTCTCTTTACCCTTAATAGAGCTTTCTTGCCAGGTGAAGTCCTGAGAATTAAAGCTGCTCTTCAGGGGAGATGAGCTTCTTACAGCTGCCTCTTCACTACGATGCGCAAAATCTGCAGCCTAGTATTGCTGTATGTGTATTAATGCATACAGTAAAATATTTGTGGTGGTTTACTTTTCTCTGCCTCTTGATTTGCCAGTCACCCTCGGAATGAGACAAGCTCTCTCTGCCCTTTATAGTAGAGCATTGCTGTATGGAAGATTAAAATGTAAAATTAAAGATGTCTGCAAGCAGACTCGAATGCTAATCTCCAACACAAGCCTTCACTTTTTTTTTTCCCTTCTCCTTCCCTTGTAGGAAATAGACAGACGGTTGGAAAAGAAGCTGAAGATCACACAGAAGGAAAGGTAATGGTACTGTGCAATCTGAAAAACCGTATTTTCCTGAGGTGCAGTTGGACATCTTGAAGGCCTGGGGAGTGGGTGCAGTGGGAAATGTCAAACTGAGCAGGTAACATTGGGTTTGAGCTAAGAAATAGGGAATCTCTCTAATCATGCCACTAGGTGGCCCTTTCGATCCATAGCAGAGTAGCGGAAAGATTCTTGAGAGTGATTTTATTTCAGAGCCGGGTCTTCAAGACTGGATGTAGCTACAGCTATGGGGAAGCCTTTTAAGAAAAAGACACTCAAAGGAAGAAATGGGTGAGTCAGGTAATCCCAACTCATAGCCCTAAATTGGCTTGCTGTGCCTTGCATCAGTAAGATTTCCTTTCCTGCTTACCTTGGATTGGGGCGGGGGTGTGTGTGTGTGTTATTGTCTTATCCTCTAGCACAATTGTTTCTATGCACTTCTGACAAGTCTTTTCCCCACTCCCCTCCCCTTTGATTCTTAGTAGGCCACTAAAAGATCAGAGTCATGGTATTATTTCGCTGGGACTTCTACACAGAGAAGGGACTATAAAAATTTGGATGGTGACACTGAGGCCTAAGGCTGGCTCCGAGAAGTGAAATTGCAGGGTTGAAGTCAAAGGCCAGGAATTCTGGCGAGAGGAGCTCTAAAGAACGCAGGGAGTGGAAGCAAGATGCTTACACCAATGTCTTTGAATATAGGTGTTTAAGGTTTTCCGTGAAAATCTTTGATGCTTAAGGTACCTTAAAAAGCATCCCGTTCCTGCCCCAAAGACGGCTAAATTGGTTATCCAGATACTAAAATCTGGAGTTAATTCTTAAAACAGGTACTAGCAGCAAAACTTCAGACTCTATCCGCCCGTTTAAAAGTGAGCTTCTCTGCTCAGGGTTTGCTTTCCCTTCCTTCGCTCGAGTTTAAAGACGTCCAACGCGGCAGAGACTGGTTTTTTTTTGTCCCTTACTGAGCTAATTTCTTACAAACCTGCCTGTCGCTGTAGATTAGGGTTACAAATGTAACAAGGTCTTTAATTATTACAGGCTGCCTGTTAGTCATGGGAATGACATCTGACTGGGACGCATTCGCATGCAGAGCTAAAAACACGCTTGCAGTAGGAGACAAATACTGATCAAATGTTTTTCCTTTTAAACAGTAGAAAATCAAAATCTCCTCCTAAAGTGCCGATTGTGATTCAGGACGACAGCCTTCCTTCAGGTCCTCCCCCGCAGATCAGGATCTTAAAGAGGCCTACAACGAACGGCGTGCTTAGTAATCCCAACTCCACTACCAGACCAGCGTTCCCTGTGAAGTCCTTGGCGCAAAGGGAGGCGGAGTACGCAGAAGCCAGAAAACGAATATTGGGCAGCGCGAGCCCTGAAGAGGAGCAGGAGAAACCAATTCTGGATAGGTGAGCAGCAGCAGTATGGTGGCATCGTTGCGCGTAGTCCTTGTGAGCCCCTTTGTACCAGAAAGAGAGGTTGCGTTCCTTGAAGCGTAAGATGAGGCAGATAGAGGAGAAAAGGGCGCTTTGGTTGCAAGCAGGGCATCGTAAAGCTCAAACACATGGCAGTTAGAGGAAGCGCTTGTGCTTGATAAATGGCCTGCAACAACCTTTAGTGCTTTATAGGTTAGCTTTGGAAGAGTGGGCTGGGGATGCAGAGAGGAGTACAGGCAACTGAGTTGTTCTGGCACGACGTATCCACCTCTTTGCAGAGGTTTTAACTTAAGGGAGCTACTGCCTGTGGATGGGACAGTGAAACATGATCACTTTTAAACGAATGCTGATTGTTCGGAGGCACCGTGCTCTCTCTTTTAGATGCAGCGTGGGTCTTGGCTGCTCAAGAATAAGATTTCCAAAACCTTTTGGAGAAATGTAATGCTAGTTAACTTTTGGTTGTGTCCCTCTTCCCAGGGAAGGTAGCAGGACTGTGATAGTCCATTAGCTGTGGCAGTGGCTTTCCACCAAAGCAGATGCGAGAGTATTTTGTTGAAGGCTTGCGATGTTACGCAGACATGTTGCGTCTCTCTCTGATCTTCTTTCTCCTTGCAGGCCAACAAGGATCTCCCAGCCGGAAGACACCAGGCAGCCCAATAATGTGATTAGGCAGCCACTGGGTCCCGATGGTTCACAAGGCTTCAAACAACGCAGATAAACGTGGGCAAGAGATCATGCTGCAGAAAGCAGGGTCAGCCGCCACGGGTTGCACTGCCGTGGTGGACAAATGGACTTGAGCAAAGGGAACTACCTGGTTTACTTGCACTGTGATCCCCTTTGCTCTGCCCACTGTGACCTTCAAACCCCATGCACTGTGACCTCCCCGCTCCACCCACTGTGATCGGCATACCGACAAGGGCTGTCCCAAGTCACTGTAAAAGGAAAGGGGAGGGGGAGTATAAAGGACTCGAACGGGTGCAGAGTGTCGTGTGTGCCACTTTGGTTGAAGCTAGCGCCAGCAATAATGTTTGTTGTACTCATAACCTGGGATTTAAGGAAAAAAAAAAAGTGGGAAGCCTCCCCAGATGCGCATGTTGTCTTTATCACTTTAAGAGCAAGTTCTGTTTCAAAGGATCTCTTTTTGTTTTCTGTTTGTATATCAGATCAACTTTCAATGGAGTGCATGGAAAGGGTTTTAACTGTTTAGTTTGTTTTAATTGAGAGAGGTAGTTAAGTGTTCTAAAAGGAGTTTCAATGAATTTCTGCAACATTAATGGCTAGGATTTGGCAAGCTTAGCTTCTTGTTCTGTATTTCTGCTGCTGCCAAGCAAATGGAAGTGGACTCCCGGATACCTAGGCTTTCCGATTGCCTTGGCCTTGGAAGCCAGTGGAGGCTGATGACCTAGTTTACATATTGCACCTGTTAAAGCTTGGCTAGTGTTTTCTGCTGGCTTGAGGAAAAACTTAAAATACATCTTTGCGTATTTGGGGAGAAGGGAATGTGGACAGATCCCATGAAAATGCCTACTGCCCAGTTACTGTTTGCGGCAAGGAGAGCAGGGCGGTGATGAGCTAGGGCTCTGTTGCATCTGGACTTACAGGCTAGGAAGAGAATAGTCAGTGCTGCGTGGCTCTCTTCTGGTCCATGAAATACATGGTAAAGGAGTCCCGCTCTGTAAAGCCTGTGCTTGTCAAGTGGCTGACGTAACGGCAGGGGCAGGACGACCGCTGCTCCAAGGGTTTGAACCTAAGTGGCTTATGATGGACCGAAGGCTCTGATCTCTCGGTTACGGTACAAGCCAGTGCTGTACCTGATGCATTTACTTCTAGAAATCACAGACGTTGGGAACAAAATGCGTTCAATAAAGTTTGGAAAACTCCCTGTCTTCAAGCATTGTGGGTGGTAACAGCTGGCTTTCTGCCAGGCTGCAGGGAACTGATTGCTTTTGCTCCTCCAGCCCCCAGAAAAGAGGACAGGGTCTGAGGCAGGGATTCCAGCTTGCAGTCTGAAAACTTTCCAGGATGATAGCTGCGGAGGAGAAATACCAGGTACCACCAAACGTGCTTACTGTAAGACACTGTTGAATATGGATACTTTGCTTGTGCCCGATGCTGTCTGTCGTATTGCATTGTCTAACTCTCTGTACCCTAGACAAGAAAGCTGACCTACTCTTAATATTACTGTCTTGAGGGATTAGATGAACACTAATGCTCTTTTTGGAGGGAACGTAAAGAACGCCGCTTGTGCGCAAGCGACTCCAGGCTTAGAAGTGTTTCTGCATGTTGCTAGGATCTCTCACTGTAGACGGACCTGCCTGGCGGAGGAACGGGCTGTACCGTTCGTGACCCCTGGCTGCCGACACGGAAGGCTTTAGACGGTTCCTTTGGCTGAAACAGCTGTGGGCTGGCTGATTGCTATGTTCTCAGAAGCTAGAATATCACTTCTGGTTACTGGAGGATGTGTTCTGTACAGGTGCGGTGTTGCCTACTGTGTGGCTCAGTAGGTTGAACAGTAAACAGCCAAATCTAACAACTTCTGCCTGAAAAGAAGCAAACGTACAGATCATCTTCCACCCTGCGTTGTATGGGAGACTCCCATATGATAAACCAAGACATGTATGGAAATACAGTTTAAAAAAAAAAAAAAAAAGAGAGAAATTACTGGTAAAATAAAACTACCTGTGTACAAAGATGGAATCTGCTAGAACCTTAATCTGCTAATCGAGTCTGTGCCACCCTCCACCGTGAGCCCCAAATCAGGTGAGCCCTCAACGGTTGGTACAGGATGACATTACTTACTCTGCTGTAAGGTGGGAAAGATAACCGCAGATGGGCAGAAGTCTGGTCGGACCAGGAGTTTGGCCCAAACCTTTGTGTTCTTAGGAGGCCGTAGTCTTAACGTTTACTGAACTCCCTCTCAGGTAGGGCTCGGGTTGTGCTGCGAGGGCGTCTGTAGTAAAAGTCCCCGGGAAGAGCAGCTCAGCGAGGGAAGGGTCGGTGGATCAGGGAGCGGGAAGGGAGAAAGACATTAGCAATAACTGTAGTCACCACGCCTTTCCTTAACTATTACTCAAAATAGCTTTTACTTCAGAGGGCCAGCTGCCGGCAAAAAAGCTCCTGACGTAGCATCGGGTACCTTGCTGACGTTAGAAGTCTTCTCCCTGCAAGTCAGGTGCCTGCGATCCTTGCTAGTTGCACATCAGACCTTGTTCTCCAGCACCGACCTCGCGTAACTAATAGACGATTCAGTAGGGGCCGGGGGGCGGCCGCGGCGCCCTTCTCCAGCTTATCTGTCCCTAGAGCGGGATGAGCCAGGATGCTTCCGACCTGCGGGCAGGGGGAGACGGCAT